GCGCGACTCTTACGCTTCTTTCGTGCTTAGCAACCTCCCGCGTGCATCCATAACTCAATAGTGTATGCTATGGTGTTTACCATTTGTTAAGCATGCGAGGCGCAGCCGAGTGTGACACTGATATTCTCACCAGACTTTGACGCCTTTTGTGATCTATTATCGACCTTATCTATGGAATCTGTTGTAACATACCTTTTGCAGAATGAGGTTCTTTCTTAGCTTCAACGTTCTTTGTTCGGTCATTATAATTATAACCATTTCGCGTTTAAGAAATAGATCAGTTATTCATAGTGTGTGTGAAAAGTAAAAAGTTGTTAGACCGTTGAGTTGCAGAATAAAATTTCACTCTCTATAGGAAGGATTGTCTTGTCTCTAAATCTCCTCATACTTCGGTGCAAGTAATACACCACATGAGGAAACATAATCTGTTTATTTTATAGAATAAACAAGCTAAAAAAATTAAATAAAATACGATAACGTCATCAATGCGTCTGTCCTCCCATAGATCACGAGGAAGAACCAATCAAGATGCATGCGTGAATCAGCTCATCAAATAAAAGTACAATTGCTACGTGGTCGCGTATTAACTTAACGCTGAGTTGTAGCACAATGCTGGAGGCGTGCCATGAATTCGGAAGATCTTCCTCTATAAAGCTGTGTGTAAATCTTCCACGTAACAAAATCTAGAGGGAACTGAATTAAATCTTTTTATGCAATTTACCACGACTGAAGTTTAATCCGGCTTTCGATCAACTTTTTACCATCATCTTTATCATTATAATCATTGTTAATATTTTATTTTTTTGTATCTTTTATTTATTTATTTATTTATTTGCTTTTGTTTTTTATTTTCTTTTTGAGTGAAACAAGTAGATTAAAATAGTAACAAAATAGAAATACCGTAATGCAGTGAAGAAGACTGTCAATCAGAAATCGATTAGCAATGGCTCGTGAACGTCTGCAGTTTGCGGCATGGCCTTTCACTAGAAAAGTTAATTAACTTTCTCCTTTAGAAATTGAACTCACAGCGGGGTCTTTTCAGAATCATTGACTCGCTGATTATCAGTGCAGAATTATATCTTGACTTTTTCGGTGTAAAAAAATGGTCATTAAAAATGTGACATCCAGCTTTTACCCTCTGCAGCCAAAATTGAAGCTCTTCGGACCTGATATAAATAAGAGAGTAAAAAAGCCAAGCAAATCATTTGCATGCTGACTGATAGAGGATCAGGCACTGTCATGAATAAAATTAGATCGACGCTCGTACCGCAGTGAACAGTTAAATCGCCTTATTCATAGTTTTTGTCACGCTCTCTCTCTCTCTTTCTAATGGTTTTAAAAGACCTTAGAAATTTGTTCTAAATGAAATATCTTGTGGCTTAATGCTGTTTGTGGTGAACGCTTGCAGAACTCAGTGTAAACCCTAAAAAGTTATGAAGCCTAAATGGTTTACCCCAAGATATGTCGAGATGTTTGGCGATCGCTAAAAAGTTGCCGAAAAACGGAAAGGAACGTTTGTGAGGGGATAAAAACACACTTAGACATTCAGTAACACAAAATGAATAAGAAAGAAAGCGAAAAAGAAAAATTGGATTGTATTTTGAATGTATAAAAGATTAAAGAGGATATTGATTAAGCAATAGACCGCACTTTCTTTCGGTTTACCGGCGTAATAAAACACGCGGGATGTTGGGAGAACACGAAAAAACTCTGTAAATCACGAGCCGGTAAGCCTTTGGAAAGTGTGGTCTATTACTTTTTAAAAGAGATTTAATTAAAATGTTAAATTTTCTACGGGTTTACAGGTGCAATAAAGGAAAGGTTTTTGACAAGACAGGGCGCTCGTAGTTACTCAGATTTTTTTCATGAATCATGTCGCCAAACTTCGCGTGGATATGATATGTTATAAGAGGTGAATCATACTCATCAATTGCTCCTATTAGCAAATATGCAGGAATTTTTTAACTCGATAGTTTGCTAGGTCTCTGTAGAGGGACGATAGACCATTCCAGCTTAAAACACCCGCTTGGGGTCGAATCGTCACGGAAAACATAGATCTTCTTCAGACATGCTGTACAATTTCTTAAAAGTGACGGCAAAGAGATTTTAAAAGTTACTCTATGCGCGAAGGACTCCAAAATCTTTCATGTTTATATTGGCCGAACACCCATACTTACTCTCTTTTCATCGGTTAAATCCCCATCTGGGTCCTTTTTGAGCTAACTAAGCTCCTTTGCGATTTGTTTTTAATACAGTGGACGGCTTAGAGAGCGGAGTTTTATAATTGAGATTTGGCAAAGCGGAAAATAAGCCATTAAAAACGGGTCAGGTTAACCGGTGAAGCTTTCGACGATCAAAAATATTCTACGGTAAGCGTTTAAACATATATTAAGTTTACAATACATTTTCTGAAGCATTCCGGGATTCTGAACTATTATGGGTCCATTTCTGTGTCAGATGAAAAGATTGGACCACTCTCTTGGCCCTTGGCTCTTTTTGTTAGGTAAGTGCACGTTTTTGAAGGAAACACTTAGCAAAAATTTCATAACAACTGCGTACGTCTACCTTAACCGTCTTCTTGTGATCCAAGTCCTGGCAAACTTTGCAAAAAAAGTTGTTAAAAGGGAATTCGATGTTTATTTCAGAAACATTTCCTTTGAAAAGCATGCATATGCAGCGTCAAGACGAGAGAGCATTTGTATGAACCTACACGAAACATAATTTCCGTTAAGGAAATATAGTTTTAATTTGTTGAATCGAGTGAGGCATTGCTGAACGGACTAAAAAAAAAAAACACTGTAGCTCAAGATACCTTCAAAGAGCGAAGGATTCTTTTGGACCAAATGGTTTCTAATTGCATGTTTTGAGCTCAAAACAGAAAAGTGCTAATCGCTACATTGATTCTTAGTTATTGGTTCCCAAATCAACCCATACTCACTTGCGTCAAGAACTCAAAACGTTGGACAAAAATGTCGACAAATGATGTTTTTCTTTTCTGGCGTCGTTTGCATGTTTACTTTACCAGCAAATCGAATAACTAACAAACTTCTGAAGTTTCATTCCTTGGGGCTTTGAGCCTACAAAGCGATCAAAAAGTGAAAGAAAACCCCCACTTGACGTTAAGTAACAAGGCCCGTTAAAAATTCCCTCTAAAAATGAAAGAAAAAGAACAGCCGAAACATCTGGCTTATTTAGAGTGAGATTAAAAGCTTAACGCTAACAAAGTATTTTTTTACAGGTCATATGCCAAATCCAACTCAAGCAGCTTTAATCCAATTAATAATAATTAAATTTATTTAAGCACCCAGTAGAAAACGAGAAAAACCATGTGTCGGTCACTATACCAAAACGGATCAAAAGCTTGTTCACATCTTGACCGAGGAAGATTTCATGTAATACACGTTAGGTAGACTTTGGAGAAAAAAAAACCAGCAACTTCATTTTAATTTATCAATAATAAATCGAGTTAGAAATATTATTGTGAATTAGTTCAAATCCCTTCTTGAAATTTGGCATAATGACACCTTGACGACCTTAGAACTTGCACCGATGCCTTCTAGAAGCAGAAAAGATCCTCCTTAAGATTTTAAAACGAAGTAATCCTGAAGAAAGGATATAGGTAAGACGAGGGGTAAGTTTCTAAAGAAACTGTGATGCTGTGATGGGGAATTATGACAAGGTAATTACGGTTTTATCAACTGAGTTAATAATGTAAATTGGCCACCGTAAAGAGTTTCAAAGCTCTAGTTTCGAGCGTTAGTCCTTCGTCAGTCAGAGCGAATGAAGAAGTTGAAGAAGCCTTCTTTTGAACAGCTTTATGGATAAAAATTTTCAAGAACAAAACCGTTCGAAAATTGCATATGAGACAATCAAGGTTTTAAGGAGCCGTATTTCGCTATCTTTTGACACATGATCTTTTCGGCTTTTTGCGACCCTAGGTGGGCTTGCTTGTTAGCGAGCCAATCATTAGTATCCATCGCAGCGGTTCCTTGAAATGTCACGCAACATTACCCCCAGAATAACGAGGGGAACGTTGCGTGACATCCCATCATCGCTAACTTCTACTTCCGACATCTTTTTTTAAAGTCTTACATATTGACATCTCAATTTCGTTATTTTCTTCAAACATAAGGCTAAAAAATTAAAGAAGAACACCAGAAATCTTCATTATACCGATAACACCATCATTTTCTTTTCTGTTGTAATCAACCTCAAAGGCTTATAAGCTAAGTATGTATTTTACACTTTCTGTGTAGTTGCTTGTGGTTTGCCTACATCAATGCTATGACGATGAATTTTCTTCAAATCGCTTTAAGTGAAGCATTTTGCCACGACGTAGTCTCAGCCTCCATTACATCCCAAATTTCCCCTTACCCCTCCCCCCTCTTGCAACACTCTTTTATGATGGAACATCACAAGTTTCTTTCTATTTGCTTTTCAGTTTTCGTTCTGAAAGAATCACAGCCACGAGAAATACTTCTATCCCCTTACCAACCCTTGCTTTCAATAGAGCATGGGGAACCTGTGACACTGAAGTGCACAGAAAGGCCAAGCAGTGGTGCAACCTACGAATGGCTCCAAGATAACTTACACATTGGGATTATAAACGACTCAGGGATGAAAAGAGAAAAAAATACGTTGAAAATACTTAAGACACAATTATATCATAGCGGAGTCTACAAATGTATTGAAACAAGAGGGGGAGGAGAAATGCAAAAGCAAATTCGATCTGTTTTACTGAACGTTGAGGGTAAGACAACTGATTTGTTATGATTTTAGGTATTGTTTACCACTTAGCTTCAAGTTCATTTGATACTGTTATGGCTTTCACATGTTTTCTCGTCGTCTGTGGTGATCGTCTCATTTGAAAACATACACACATAAGCATAACAAAGATCTTATTAGAGTACAGTACAGTACAGTACAGTCTAGTGTATATGTTTACCTCTCTCCTATAAGGCTGTTCTAAGTAAATTCACCATTAATGAAGAAAAAAAATTGCAAAAGTTATCGAGAGAAGAATAAAGTAACCAATTTACACATTAAATTGTAACTAATTGTAACGTACTTAAAGTATTCATGAAACAACACATATGTATACTTCGCATCAAGCTTATTGACACTAGTTTCTCCGTAACATCGTGTGCAACGAATGGGCAAAAGGGTAGTCTGTACTCGTTCCCCGGGCCTTTTCCCCAACTGAGGGAAAAGGCCCTGGGAACGAGGTTGCTCAAGCCCAGTGGCCCACCAAGCCGGAGCTAATCCCAGTTTCTATGTAGCATGAAGCGATTAGGGGTGTTACTACTCCCCCCTGGATGGGATGCCAGTCCATTATAAGGTTACCCCCTAGATTTCATCAGGCTTCCCTGATAATTGCTGTCACCCCTTCATACTCCTGGGGGGAAAAAGCCACTGTGTGAGTAAAGTGTTTTGCCCAAGATCACAACACAATACATTGACCCTGCCAGGTCTCGAGCCCAGACCCCTCGACCCGGGTCCAATGCATTGACTTTTAACCCAATGTGTCTCCCACATATACTGGCCAAATGATGCAAAATCAGAAATACAAATTTTTTCGTTTTTCAACTCTAGGCATGTGCAAAGAGGCTTCAATAACCATTAAACCCTATCGGAGTGAAAAATATCCCTTAGGAATAACCTCACGTTGGATTGTGAGTGTAGAAGTTCTCGCACAAAGAAGATACGATGGTTAAAGAACGGTGCTAAAGTCAAACTAGACAAGCAAATGATAACTTTGGACGGCAAAAGATTGATAATCAACAATGCAACGTATGCTGATAGCGGCGAGTACACTTGTAAGGTGAAAGTGGACGGCTTTGGTACCTCCCCATCAGAGACTGTTCTCTTCTGGGGTAAGGGCTGACAAGAATTTAACGTGGAAGTGAAGTTTATCGTTTTTACCTTTATAGTGTATCTGCTAGGAATTTCCATTCTATATCCTCTCCTTGAGTCATCTTAGCCTGGGAGAAAGCCCCCATTTAATAGCCGACTGCAAAACGTGCGTTTCTCCATCGAGTCTGGGAGAGGTTTGCCGGGGGCATGACGATTAAAATGAAGTAGTGCCAGACCCTTTGCAGATCTTTCGCCGGCTCGCTTGCCCAATGCCTCATTGTTTCCCGCGGACGAAGAAACATTCGTGCCTAGGCGCTAATGATACAGGACCACTTGTGGCCCCATATCAAGTTTGTTCAGACTAGTTTCTTCAAAGGGCCTTAAATATCGTCAACCTTTTAAAAAGATAATTTTTTAACTGTCAACCGTCAAAAATGCAGCTCAGTTTTAACCGTCAGACAATTTAAAGGTCTTTCAAGAGACAAAAAAGCCTCAGAACAGATGAATAGATAGAAAATAATTCATAAAAGACGCGGTAACATTTTCAATATTTTAGCTAGAACTTACGGCGCAGATTTGCTATAGTAGGGTTCACTTACTTTCATGCATTTGCCCGATGGCGAGGCTTGGTAAACTTAAGTTATAAAGCACATAAAAGTATAACAGCACAGCTACCATTTTAAAAAGTTCTAAACCGGAAGTTGACCATAATCCATAAGGGGAGTGGTTACCCAATTAAAACGCAGTGAAATATAGATTTGTTTTTCTTCCTTGTAGTGGGAACTAAACCAAAGATTGTTCGTCATAAAGCTGGATATCTATTACGTGCACCAAGGGGACAGAAGTTAAAATTTCCTTGCCGAGCAACGGGAATCCCTCCTCCAAAAATAGCATGGTACTACATGGGCGAAAAGTATGGTCTAGATATTTTAGAAGCGAAAAATGACAGTGATTTCAGAGTCTATGGCGACGGCTCCTTGGAAATGCTACATTTCAGAGCAGACATGACGTTTGAATTTGTGTGTATGGCCAGAAATGTCATAGGGGAAGACCATATAAACGTCGATCTCTCAACCCCCGGTAAGTATACCCGACAAGACCTTCGCTACATGCAAAAAGTGATTGTATTCTGCTTGGCTGGAATTCTTCATTACATATGAAGGGGGTTGAGTCGCGTAAAAGAGGAGAGAGAGAGAGAGAGAGAGAGAGAGAGAGAGAATTGTTAAATTCTTCTCAGTTGAGAGAGTTAGTTGAAGTAGTAAGGGACGGGTCATTAAACGTAGACTGCGTCATTACAACTGGGGGGGAGAGGATTTAGCTTGTGTAACGAAGAAGTTTTCTTGATCCCCTCATTAGGCTCTGTAATGTGTTAATGATCCCCACCTCGCTGGCAGTTAATTGCAAGTCAATGTTTCAATACTTTGTTGGTGACGATTGACTCCCCTCCATCCCCTCTTAAAGCCTTGTGATTCTTCCCTAAATCCGTCAAACCCCCCCTCCCCTAGGCGATACGATACGATTGGATAACTTTGTTCTATACGCGGTATTTCCATCAGTCATTTAAGATACTCGACTACAAAAATAATAAAAATATTTCCAATTTTTCATTGAGGCCGCGTCTAAAATATTTCTCCTGAACGTAACCCTTCAACTCCCATGAGTGACCAAGACAGATTTTCTCCTTACAACATCAATATAATGTCAAGCAGACAAGTGATGAGAATAAAGAAAAATATCACTTTGGCAATTTCTAATTGATCTAATACCAAATTCTCAAAACTAACATCATAAGAATTGTATGGCAGATAATGAGGAAAATTACTAATCCGATCTTGGGAGCGAAGGGGTTAAAATATCACTTGAATTAAAAGATGAATAACTACTGGTCCCTGAGTTATCTTTCTTCAGGAGAAGGAGAAAGGGAGAGAGAGGGGTAGATTTCACAGCCGACATCTTCTTTGTGTCGCTAAACCCTAAACATTAGAACTTTTCACTTTCGCGTGTTAGAACAAGGTTTCTCTGCTAACCAACAGGTAATGCGCTCTCCGCGCGTTGTTACTGTTATTATTTTTTTCTTTTTTTCACTATTATTGTCTTACACCAATGTGAACTGTTTTTTACGTGCAGTGAAAATATCAGTGGATGAAGAGGTCAGAGCCATTGATGGACGCAATCTTATTGTGCCTTGCAAAGTTTTAGGCTCACCCAAAACAGATGCAATCTGGATGGATAAAAAGAGAATTTACGTTGGAAATGGTGGTCGAATTAGTTCAAGGAAAAATGGTAATCTGGAAGTAGACGGTGTACTCTTGGGTGATCGAGGACGATATTATTGTACTTCTGCCCGTGATGATCCTTCCCAAGATAGATTAGGTGGAGTATGGCTGAATGTTTATGGTATGTATGTCAGATGCAGCGCACCGTTAATGAAGAGGAATGTATATGACGAAACATCATATTCCATTTACACTACGTTGCATTAAGTCAGGGCCGTAGCTAGCATGAGGCAAGACGAGGCAATTGCCTCGTCTTAATTTTGGCCTTTTTTAATTTTTTTTCTTAAAGATTGACTTTTCTGAAGAAAAATGCCACGGAAAATCCTTAAAAGAGCATTTCTAAACCTCTAGATTTCAAAGTTTTCTGGGGGGCATGCCCCCAGACCCCTCTAGCGCCTCGCGCCTTCGGCGCTCGAAACTCGCCTCGTCTTGTCCTGAAATCTGGCTATAGCCTTGTAAGGACAACGTTTTGCGGATTTTTTTGGTTAAACATTTATCATCATTATCATTGTTATTAATATCACAGTTGTTAATTATAGATATCATTATTACTATCCCGCTGACTCTTACAGCTACTTTTAACATCACCTTGAATTTACATTAGTTGTTGCTCACTTCCTTGCAGATTCCTGCCGATCTCTCAAATTCACTCCATCCATAGATGGCCGCGCCCATGTGGGTCATGTGACTAAAAACATCAATTTGCCTGTGGGCATGCATCGTTCCTGTAGAGGACAGTGCATAATTAATAATAATTGCGTATCATTTAACATCGGTCGATCAATAAACGATCAAGTGTTATGTCAGTTCAGCGATTCTGATC